TATTAGCCTTAGAGTAAGGGAAGCACAACTCGGGATATGAGAGCATCCGAGGAGCATGTGAATGCTATGTATATTTATTTTAAATATTTGTAATGTTCTTTAATGTTATCCATAGTTTTTTTTTTTGTGGCTCTTTTTTTTTTTTTAAGTATCGGTTCAGGCACCGTTTAGGCACCGGTACCATTTTAAAAGTATCGATTTGGCACCGGTATCGTAAAAAACCCAATCAATACCCAACCCTAGTTGAGCATGCAAGTCTTTTAATGTGTACACTATTAATCTTAAGCGTGGATGAACACGCTTACCTAGTACTGTCCACATGGATACAAAAATCAATGAAAATCATGACGGAAATGACACCATGCAGACTGTCCACGAGTCGGGAAGGGAAGTATACTTTCGGCTTAATAGATCCTGTTTCTTGGCTTCAAAGTCAGCATGAAGTCAATTTGACCTTATTTCCTCACTTAATGAATGTTCCTGGTCTCACTGTGAAATATTCATCAATGTTGTTCCACAGCACAAAAAAAACAATAATAATAAAATAAATGTAATTACTTGGTATTCTTCTGAAACAAAAATTCTCTGGTGTCATAGACTCTACAGGCTGTTAATGATTTTAACCAATAGCCAAAGAGCTATTGACACTCTCATTCAAATTCTTCACCATCCAATCAATTCCCAGTGGATAAAATCAAGTGCCGTCCCACCTTTTATCTCATCGAATATCGTTTTACTGATAAATAAGTCATTTTTTATTAGATTGTGCTGGTTTTAACCCTGTGAGAGAACTTTGTGTTAACTCTTAAAGAGATTTTTAATAGAGTTAAGTCAAGTTATAGTTTTTAGCAAAAAAAACCCTGATGTAATTATTCTCACCATGAAAATAGCCACAGAAGCTGGCATGGCATTAGACACAAACAAACAAACAAACTGATAAATAAGTCACACTATGGAAATAAATTGGGAATATCAAGTCACATTGACTCTAATATGTATCTGTCTGTCTTTATTTTAACAGATTATCCAGATGGAAATAACTCTAGCGAGTATATCGCTCAGCCAACCACATATCTCCCTGAGAACTTCACATATGCTCAGAACCTGCCCTGTCCCGAACGGTTACCTTCTATGAGTAAGTGTCTTGAGTTAAACAATGCGTTTGTTTATTTGATTTGAATATTGTTTGGTTTTGCTATGCTAATGATGCAATATTGAAATATGCGTTCAAATAGGGCTGCACGATAAATAGAAATGGAATCGAAATCGCGATTCGACAGAAGCTGCGATTGTCATGCGTATCTTTCAGTGAAGCACGGTTCTGTGATCAGCAGTAAATCTCCATCCAAAGGCCTGAGGGCGCTCTCGCGCTGAAACTCCAAATACGCCTCGTAGAAGAAACCCAGGAAATGCCTATAGCGGTAGCTGGATAAACAGAAGATTTAACTGCTTTTATTGATTCAACGTGACTTAATAAACACACGATTATGACAATATAAGGTTTATCTGAGTTATTATTATTATTATTATTATTATAATTTTCATTAAAATAAAGTATATTTATAAGGCAATGCCTTTATCACTGCTTAGAATATTATGAAATATGTTGCGTGCCTTAATTCAAATGCACTAAAGGGAACAAATACTGGGTAAACTAGTTTGCTTCAATTAAACTGACTTTTTTGGCTCTGAAATGGCATACTTCCCTACTATATAGTAGATACAAACAGTATGTGAAAAGACTAGTTTGTCTGAATTCACAGTATTCATAAAATAGCTTGCCAAACGTACTCAAATGATTACTATTTCTGGTGAGATTTTGAAGTGTGCATTCAGTGGGCACTTTACTATCCCATGAGGCCACAGCAGAGAAGTTGCGAATGCCAGTGAAACAATGCAACTGACATTTGTAGGTCACATGACAATGACAGCATGATGAATTTAGTATGTCTAGATTATATTCATACTATATAGAACATACTTTTTTTTTTTTTTACGGTTTTAAATTAATTACTTATTTAAAAGTAGTACTTATTCAGAGACATTTTTCTTATATAACTCACCGTTAATTTTTTTCACACCCCTGTGAAGGATAAATCTGGTGCTGCTTTAGCTTTTGGCCAAAAGAAGGCATTCTAAACAGTCTTAGAAGGCAGCATAAAACAGCCTTTGTTTGGGGAGTGTGCCTATGCTGCCTCTCTAAAATCTCTCTAGCCACTAAGCTTTTTAATCTACACTTCTCAGGTTTAATATACTTTTTATCTCATTCGTCTCTGTGTGAGGCACACCCATCACATTGGGTGTGAATTGTTTTGGCTTGTCTTCACACACTTTAAGAAATTACTAAGAAATGTTTTTTTTTGCTTAGTTTCTTGTTGTTTTTCCTTGCAGAGGGTCAGATGGAAGTGAACATGACCGAGGTTCCTGTGGAGGAGACTGAACTGAAGCTCAAACATCTGGACATTCAATTTGGAGGCCACTGGAAGCCCAAAGATTGCAAACCACGCTGGAAGGTGCGACATTGTTGTAGTTGCATTATCAAAAAGGCCATTCAGCACATAAGCATGACAGGTTTTGTGGTTTTCTCTCTTACTCTCTCTCTCAGGTGGCCATTTTAATCCCCTTTAGGAATCGCCGTGAGCATCTTCCCATTCTCTTTCAGCACCTCGCCCCTATGCTCCAACGCCAACGCTTGCAGTTTGCCTTTTATGTCATTGAACAGGTGTGCACATACACTGTTTTGATGTAGTACTGCCATCCACTGATGGTCGAGTTTAGTAGATTGAGAAAAATCAATCAACAATCATATTTTTTTTTCAATCCTGTGCTTTCAGACGGGTACTCAGCCGTTTAACCGTGCCATGCTGTTTAATGTGGGCTTTAAAGAGGCCATGAAAGACCTGGACTGGGACTGTGTGGTGTTTCACGATGTCGATCACATCCCAGAAAACGACCGTAATTATTACGGCTGTGGTCAGATGCCTCGACACTTTGCCGCCAAGCTTGACAAGTACATGTACATGTAAGTTTTACTTTATTCTCTTTTAATTTCATTACTTTCACCCTCCTTTTTTGTCACTTTTCTGATTGCTTAACATTTATTTTCCTTATTGCCCAGCTCTTGATGTTCCAGGTTTTGAATGCAGCTAAGTTGAGTTCAGTTTGTTTTCAAAGTGTGTAACTGTGTATTTTAAACAATTTGAGGCTTGTGTTTTCAACAATTCTAGTGGTGTTATAGAGGTGTTTTTTTTTATTTGGTCGTGTGTGAGTGTATAAACTTGTATGACGTTATCCACCACCTGTAGATCCTTGCAGATCCTAATGTATATAACCAGTGTTTGTGTTTAGTTAGTTGGTTGGAGTGTTTGTGAGGTTTTATCTGTCTAATTAATCTAAAATGAACCTATTCACTGAACCAAAGATAAAAACAATCTGTAATGTTCAAATTCATTCAACCAAAAACTGGATAAATTTCAAAAACCTGTTGAAAATATAGTCAATAATGTTTGCCGGATTTTTAAAAACAAATAGGCCTACCGGAACGCAAAAATGTAAAATCTGGCATTTTCCGGAACAGGATCCAGCAGGATCAAATGAAGTACTGGTCATAATACTCACATAAAAATGTTTCATGTTAGCAACAGTGTGTTTTGC